AAAAATTCTAATTCGTGAGCTCCTGGCATCAAGAGTGTGAGCGAGCGATTTTGGCTGCCGCATAAAGTAGATTGCTCTGGAGCCCTCCTTCCTGAGCTAAGACAAAAGATCGGAAGCTGGAGGCTAAAAAACTGTGAGCTGGCTCACACTAACTCAGCTTAGAGGGAACACTGATTGTGACCCCATGTGGGCGCCGCGGGAAATGACATATCGGCCAGGGGTCGGTTTCTAAACCAAACGGGGTGGGGGGCTGGGGATCCGGCAGGGCTTAACCTGGAACAAGGTGAAGCAGTTAAGGTGGCGCCATGTGCTGAGCATGCACATGGTGTCTCTGAGCATGCGCATGGTGCCTTTCCCAGCTAGGTCCCCTATAGGAGGTGATTAAGGGACGGTGGGAGGGGGACAGGCCGGTCTGAGACCCCAGGGCTAGTTTCAAAAACAGCCCTTGACGGGTCTCTGCTGCCTTTTTGGAATGAATCCAAGGGGCTGCCTCCACGAATGGAGAGAATTATTGGTGCCAGGCGGTGTACAAACCCCCGGGGATGTCATTTGAAACTGGGGAGAGAGGTCTCTTTAAAATGTTTTTTGTTTTTAGCTGGTAGAAACTCCTGCAATGTTGCATTGTGCAGACGGTCGCTGGGGTCCCTCCCGGTTCTGTTTCTGTGTCCCACCCGGTTTGTATAGATTTGTGTGGGCTGGATTGGCATCCTTGCTTTCTTTACAATCAAAGAGGTGCCAGGGCTCAGGACAGCCCGGAAGCTGCGTCCTCTTCTCCTGGAAGTCCATCCCCTAATTCCAGATGTGCGAGTGGGTTGCTGCTGTTCCCCTGGTAAAGGGCGCTTTGCTCATTCACAGAGGCATTCAGTCACTCCGAGAGTGACATTCAAGGGCTGATTTCTGCCTGCACCAGCCATCTGCACCCCTCATCTAGGCCCAAACAAACTGCAGAGGACTAATGCGAGCATTGTGAAAAAGCAGACGGGAGGGGGCAGAGAAGGGTTGGCACCCATTCTGCCATTCAGGGGGGGTGGGCAGCGTTCCCTCTAAGCTGAGTTGGTGTGAGCTAGCTCACAGTTTTTTAGCCTCCGGCTCACAGATTTTTGTCTTCGCTCAGGAAGGAGGGCTCCAGAGCAAACTAATTTATGCAGTAGCCCAATCGCTCGCTCACAGCTTTAATGCCAGTAGCTCACAAAGGCTCCATAGCTTAGAGGGAGCATTGGTGGTGGGCAGTGTTCTCTCTAAGCTGAGTTAGTGTGAGCCGGCTCACAGTTTTTTAGCCTCCGGCTCACGGATTTGTCTCAGCTCAGGAAGGAGGGCCCCAGAGCACACTAATTTACGCAGCAGCCAAATCGCTCGCTCACAACTTTAATGCCAGTAGCTCATGAAGCAGAATTTTTGCTCACAAAGGCTCCATAGCTTAGAGGGAGCATTGGTGGCGGGCAATGTTCCCTCTAAGCTGTGGAGTCTTGTGAGCAAAAATTCTCCTTTGTGAGCTACTGGCGTTAAAGTTGTGAGCAAGCAATTTGGCTACTGCATAAATTAGTTTGCCCTGGAGCCATCGTTCCTGAGCTAAGGCAAAAATGTGTGAGCCAGAGGCTAAAAAACTGTGAGCTAGCTCACACTAACTCAGCTTAGAGGGAACACTGGTGGCGGGTGAAGGAAAGATGTCCTGCTCAGCTATTGCCCTCACTTGGATCCTCCTTCAGACAAGGGGGGACGGACTGCTTTTGCGACTGTAATTCTTTCCACCTCTGTAAAAACCTTGCCCCGGGGCTCAAGGTGAGCAGAAAGGCCAAGACTGCCAGCAAGCGGGGGGGGGGGTAATGCCAGTAGCTCATGAAGCAGAATTTTTGCTCACAAAGGCCAAGACTGCCAGCAAGCGAGCTGCTTTTAGATCTCATTTCATGCCTAAGAGAAGCTGGATCATTAAGTGCCCCCCCCCCGTACTCCCTAGTCAGCCTAATTCTGGGCCACATGGGGGGTAGAAAGAGGACACAGCCGAAAGGGACTTACAAACACCTGCCAACCTCGTCCCCTCCACTGTTACGTAGTTTAATTTGGTCTGCCAGCACTTGACTGTTGGCGTCTGTTTTTCAGAGCTAGCTCAGAGCACAGGTCTGTCGATGGCGGAATAGAACCCCCATGATCAGAGGCAGCATACCTCGGAATGCTGGCTGCCGGAAGGGCGGCAACGAGGGGGAAGGTTACGCGTGAAGCTGCCTTCTACTGAATCCGACCCTCGGTCCATCAAAGTCAGTATTGTCTACTTGGATTAGCAGCGGCTGTCCAGGGTCCCAGGCAGAGAGGTCTTTCACACCCCCTCCTGCCTGGTCCTTTTAACTGGAGATGCCGGGGACTGAACCTGGGACCTTCTGCATGCCAAGCAGAGGCTCTTCCACTGAGCCACAGCCCCACTTCATGGCTCTCCAGGGTCTCAGGTGGAGGTCTTTCCCATCCCCTCCTGCCTGGTCCTTTTAACTGGAGATGCCGGGGACTGAACCTGGGACCTTCTGCATGCCAAGCAGAGGCTCTTCCACTGAGCCACAGCCCCACTTCATGGCTCTCCAGGGTCTCAGGTGGAGGTCTTTCCCATCCCCTCCTGCCTGGTCCTTTTAACTGGAGATGCCGGGGACTGAACCTGGGACCTTCTGCATGCCAAGCAGAGGCTCTTCCACTGAGCCACAGCCCCACTTCATGGCTCTCCAGGGTCTCAGGTGGAGGTCTTTCCCATCACCTCCTGCCTGGCCCTTTTAACTGGAGATGCTGGGGATTGAACCCGGGACCCTTCTGCATGCCAAGCAGATGCTCTGCCACTGAGCCACGGTCCCTCTCTAGTGCTCAGCTTTGGCCTTTGCGGCCTGCTTGTGGCCATTTGTTTAGCCACCGTGAGCAACACGATGCCGGACTGATCGGACCTTTGGTCCGATCCCACTCGCAGTCTGAAGCATTCCGGTCCAGGAAGGGCTATGCCGTGTATTTCTGCACACTTGTGCCAGCTCTTCGAGCGAGGACTGACGGGTCCGAAATGCAAACTGTGAATTTTGCCCGTCTGCCATCTGAAGTGGTACAGTCCCCAAAGGGCTCTTCCTAGGGTTGCCACCTCTGGTTTGGGAAATACCTGGAGATTTGGTGGGGTGGAGCCTGAAGAGGGCGGGGCTTAGGGAGGGGAGGGATTTCGGTGTAGTGAAACGCGCTACAGTCCGCCTTCCAAAGGGGCTGTTTCCTCCAAGCGAACTGATCTCTGGTCGCCTGGAGGTCGGCTGTGATAGCGGGGGGATCTCCAGCCGCCACCTGGAGGTTGGCACCCCCTAGCTTTACCGCCTGCCACTTCTGGGCCTTTAAAGCAGCCCAGAGGGTGAAAACTGGGGAAATGGGCCAGTGGGAGCGAGGTGGTTCATACCATCAGGGCAAAAGGGGAGGGGGGTGTTACTCCTCTTCCGAGGGAGGACTCTGGGTTCCAGCACTCTCAATCTTCTCCCCCCCCCCCACAGATATGCTAGCTCGGGGCAACTCCTCCTGTAGCCCGGAGACTTCCGCTCGGGCTCCCTGCTGTACTGTGGATAGTGGGTTGCTGCGGCCCAAGGAACGCGACTCGCCGGCGCCCCCTCCGGGCCAGCCCTCCTCTCTGCACATGGTCCGGCTGGCGCCTTCCCCGGCCGGCGTGGGCTGCCGGCCGCACCCCGGACACTCCCCTGCCGAGCCGCTGGCCGCTCCGTGCCCCTCGACCTCGCCCCCCCTGCGGCGCCGGCGCACCCGCCTGGACGTGCCCCTCGAGCCCTCCCTGGAATTCCTGCAGGCCCAGCGGGAGACGGCCGAAGCCATCCGCCAGCTGACTCACACCCTGCGGCAAGGCCTGGAGAGGCTCACCGATATCGGGGCCGCCGTCCTGCCACTCCTTCCGGTCCGGGCAGACGCCCTCACGCACCAGCAGGGGGCGACCTCGACCCAGGTGCCGGCCCCTTCCACGGAGACCCCGACCGACGGGGACGCCTTCGCCGCCAAGGTGGAGCCGTCGCCGGGGCCGGACGAGGAAAGGCCTCCGCCAGAGGACGGCAGGCCCGCGGCTGAAACCAGGCCGCCCCCGAGCCAAGCGGCGGCGCCCCAGAAACGGAGGAAAGGGGTCCCTACTCAGAAACGCAGGGGCCGCTGGAAGAATCTGTGAGGGGGGCTCGGAAGGACCTGCTGCTGTTGCTTCCCCCTACAGGCGAAAAAGGGGATAACGCACATCCTGTGGAGGTGGGGTCTTCATGGCGCCCCTCTGTCCCCCCCCCCCGAAAACATTCCACACACCCCACAAATAATGCAAGATTGCTCCCTTCACCATGCACCGTCCTGCCGCCACCTTCAGTTACCGCTGCTAAGGGGTTTGGTTGCATCCACAGCTTGCGTCCCACAAAACAAGATACGGGCCGTTTTGGCCGCCCACGCCACCCTGGTTTTGGCTGGCAAAGCCTGGCTGGTTTAACCGAGCTGCTGGCGGGGCTTCACCTTGGGCCGGTGTCACCGTTTGCGCGGGCCAGGGTTCGACCAAGGACTGATGGCCAGCCACCGAAATTGGAGACGGGGACGCAATGCAGATGGGCAGACCCCTCTTCCGGCCTCCTTTGAACCCGAGGCGGCGAGGCAGGCGTGAGAGAGTCTGGCTGGCTTCCGGCTCCAAAGACACCCCTTGCCCCCCTCCTCCACGCTCCCCCAACCCGATCCAGTGCCTGAAAACCAGATGCGGAGGGGCCGATTGGGTCTCGAGGACTAGTGCCCGTAGACCGTCCCTGCCTGCCTCTTCAGATGACAAGAGAAGGCAGCAGTGTTCCCTCTAAGCTGAGTTAGTGCGAGCCAGCTCACCGTTTTTTAAGCCCCCGGCCCACACATTTCCGCCTCCGCTCGGGGAGGAGGGCTCCAGAGCAGACTCATTGATGCGGTAGCCAAATGGCTCGCTCACCACTTGAACGCCAGTCGCTCACAGAGTAGCGTTTTTGCTCACACGACTCCACAGCTTAGAGGGAGCATCAGAAGGCGTCCGGGTGACGACGCCCTCTCCTCCACCAAGCCCCGTTCCGATGGAAACTTAATAAAACTATTTTTTCATACTAGCTCTCTTTGCATTCATGGGATCGTGTTTGGAAAGCTGTGCTGGCAGCGCGGAGAGGAGAGAGAGGGGCTAAGCTTTTCTGCCAGGAAAAGGGTGTGGGTGGGTGTCCTCCCCAAGGTACAAAACTGGGTTCTGTTTAATAACCCAGAAAGAAAAGTCACAAGATAATATGTAAGGCGTTCCCTGCAGTTCATTCCTCCCTTGCTGTGGAAAAGAAGAAGAAGAAGAAGAGATTGGATTTATACCCCGTCCTTCACTTGGAGTCTCAGAGCGGCTGACAAACTCCTTTCCCTTCCCCTCCCCACAGCAGACACCCTGTGAGGTGGGTGGGGCTGAGAGAACTCTGACACAAACTGCTCTTTTTCAAGGACAGCTGTGCCAGAGCTTGTGACTGACCCCAGGTCACATCAGCAGGTGCAAGTGGAGGAGTGGGTAATCAAACCTGGTTCTCCCAGATTAGAGTCCGCACACTTAACCACTACACCAAACTGGATCTCAAAAGTGCATTGTTACTACCGTTATACGGACAAGAAACCATCAGACTGACAAATGCCCAGAGCTGTACAAAGGTGACCCTTGAGTTCAGGTCTTCCCTCACAAATGCCCAGAGGTGACCCTTGAGTTCAGGTCTTCCCTCAGCTCTAAGTCCACTGACAAACCTTCGGTGATATTCACGTTTCTTCGGACAGGCTTTATACACAACGCTCATGTTTTTGGTTGGTATGAGAATCCACCAGCCCGGGTGACGCACAAAACGCTTAGCCCGGTTAATAGAGGCCAGGTTCTTAGCGATGTGGTAGGCCACAAACGCACCTCACTCATTCACAACAACTTCAAACCAGGCGCTGTTGCTGATTGGAGTTACAGGGTAAACCTGGAGGGAGGGGGACAGAGTTTGAGTCCAGTGGCACCTTTAAGACCAACAAAGATTTCTTCAAGGTATAAGCTTTGTGAGCAGGCACACTTCCTCAGGCAAAAAAGCTTATACCTTGAAGAAAACCTGGTTGGTCTTAGAGGAGCCAGTTTGGTGTAGTGGTTAAGGGAGAACCGGATTTGATACCCCACGCCTCCACATGCAGCCAGCTGGGCGGCCTTGGGTCGGTCATAAGTTCTTTCAGAGCTGTTCTCTCGAGGGCAGTCCTCGAGAGAGCTCTCTCAGCCCCACCTACCTCACAGGGTGTCTCTTGGGGGGAGGGGGAGGGATTGTAAGCTGTTCTGAGACTCCTTCAGGCAGTGAAGGGCGGGGTATAAATCCAATCTTCTTGATTCCTCTACATTTCAGAAGCGCGTGGGGCAAGTTGGGAAGTGGCCACCAAAGCCCAGACAGCTTCTAATCCACCTAGCACTGTCGAGAAGGGATGCTGGGGGTCAGCAAATAAGGGGAGGGTTCCCCCCCCCTTTTCTCCCATCCAGAGCTAACAGCCAGGTAGGGAGTTCAGTTTTGATTGCTGAAACTGGGTGACTGTGAACGTGTTAAAAAAAACCCCTTTGCTCAAAGGTCCAGAACCAAATCAAGACCCTTAAAAAAAAAAAATCTCTGAGAAGATCCTATCATTGAT